TAAATGCCATTGTAGTGAACAGGGATGTATCTGGTAGCTGTGTTGATCTAAGACTAAAAGAAATGCAAAACTCTATTCTTGGTTCAGAGATGATACCTTTTATTAGACCAACTATGAAATTGCAAAAAATATTATTAAATTATTAAAATTGCCAGAAACATTACAGTTTTATTGTGGTGAACAAACTTTTTTGTTCTTCTAGGGGTCTAAGATCAATTTCTAGCTGAAGAGGCAACCAATCTGTCATTCAAGGCTTTAACTGTTCATTTAATATGTTGAAAATGCACAGCACAAACACTTATAGTCCTACATGCATGGTAAACCAATGGTTAGACTTGACCTTCTACATGGAGACCTACAGAAACTTTATACATGCAGAATGTTTAGGTCTGACACCAAAAAGTGATCAGGGATGGCATCTGCCTTAAATGTTTGGGTTTACAGATAAGGGTAGTCTGAGTCTTACAATGTACTCAGAATCTTCTCATAATAGGCCCAAGTAAAGGTGCACTTGACTTTTATTTATTTATTTTTCCAGCCCCTTCCCTCTCCCATCCCAGAATTTTTTTCCCCAGGTGAATGCATCTAACGTGACCTGAACTGGTGTAATGTAGAACAGGTTATAGAAACTAGTAAAGCCCATGCACTACCCTATTCCATAATACAGAAGTTGGAAGGTGTAGCTTTAAAGTCAAGCAGTTATCCTATGTTGTACAGCAGATTTCTAAAGTAGTAGACATTGTACCTCATGAGAGATTATTAGTACAAGCATAGAAGATGGTCCAAGATGAGGTCCTTTTCCCTCTTCCCCCCCACCCCTCCAGTCAACATGGGGGACGGGGCGAGGGAAGCCTCATTTTGGATTTGAGTACCTGTCCAGGGTAGTTGGTAGCTCAGCTCTGGGCCAGGGTGGCTCATGAAAGAGGGGGCTCACAGCCTGGGGGTGCAAGGAGGAGACTGCAGCCCATGCCAACTGGGCTCTGAGCTGCCATTGCTGCTTCTGCCTGACAGGTCCAGGGCTGGGGCTGCAGCTGCAGAAAGCAGGCAGGTGGGGGTGTGCAGGTGACAAGTGGGGTGCATGGGAAGTAGGCACATGGGGGAGGGGGTGATAGGTATACAGGCATGAGGGAGGGTTGGGGAGCAGGCATCGAGGCAGGGCAAGGGTGAGACAAGTGGGGCGGGGCAGGCTTCGGTATGATGGGAGGGGGGCAAGGTGTGGAGGTTTTGCCCTTTGCCCCACACCACTGCTTTCCCTGCCACAGTAGTGGGGGGAGTATGAATTTAAGATCACCCTCCAAGAATTAATTTTGTACATGGAAAATTATAACACATTATTTTCCATGTATATAATTTCATTATTAGATGGTCGTAATTTTGAAATAGTCTTGGATTTGGGTAAATATGGTAGCTCAAGAAGAAAGTACAGCTGGCTGTGGCAAGCAGGGGGGCATCAAGATATAGGGATACAAGGTGCATATAGTATGTGGGGGTAAAAATGTATTTGGAATACGAAATGCAGAATTCTGTTCCTTTCCTCCCCTTAGTTCTGGCACAGAGAGCTGATATTATGCAGCAGTTTACTTTTCCTCAGCCCACCCACTATCTGTTCAGCCAAAAGCTATGGATTTAATACTTTTACTGAAACTGGACTCTACCCCTGTTATTTGCTGGCCTAGAGAAAAGCAGTAGCACTATCTCCATGCTTCTTTTCCAGCAAAGAAAGCCAGCTTCCCCACTTAAGGCATGCACCCCAGTTTTGAAGGACTGTTTTTGCAGGGGGGAGGAGATGGTGCATAGGATATATGAGTAAACAGTAATATGCTCAGGTGTTGATACCTAGATGATTGTTAGCTGCCAAGGGGGGGAGGGGCGGGATGAGATCCTATCCTGCATCAAGAGATGGGGGAACTGTAAATGTTACTGTAAAAGGCACCAGTAAAGCTTTATCTTGGTAGGATAATGTACTATTCTGATCACTGATGTTCAAGAACTATATTCAAACTGGAGCTGTGCATGGAAGGGCTACTCTTTTCTTCTGAAACACCTACTTTACAAGAGGGGTCTAAAAGAATTTGTCTCAGTGTATGGAAAATATTCCTACAAGAGTATACTGCTCTCTAGAAATGCATCGGAGGAGTAAAAACACTAGTGAGGCAGAAGGGAAAAGGATAATATTGGCATAAGAACAAGCAGCCATAGAAATTTCTGTCTGGATATTAGGAGGAGGCTTTCAGTAAGAAGGGTGGGGAAGGAAGGGACAGAACAATTTTTGCTAGCTTTAAGATGCATTTTGAGTTTATAGAACTTATTTTGGCAACTGCTTAGAAACCATTTCTTCTAATATGTAAAAGCTAACTGTAGGTTTAATACTTTTTTTAAATGCCAATACAGGTTAAGTTCAGACAAGGCTTAGCTTGTGTCCTCTCTATAATGCTCAATGACTAGAACTACATTAAACAGTACTTCACCTAAAATATTTGTCTATGGCAGTATCTGCTACCTTAGTAAGTGTGCCTTGTACTTATGGGGAGACATAGAAGAGTATAAAATCCCTTATGGGACATGGGGATGAGTTGCCTCTTCAGGCTGTTCGTAATACCATAGATGAAACGTTTGCCTGTATTTTATATTTGCATAATTGGGTGTCTGATAGGATTGTGCAAAGCTTCAGTCCCTGATTCCATTGAGCCCGATTTGGTGGCTGAATCTCCAAATCGAATCAGGAGACCCTTTAATCTCTCTGAAACAAGTTGGAACCCTCTGAATTGATTTGGAAAGATTCAGAGATTTGGACCTAGACACAGCCTTAAATGCTTTTTCTACATACCTCAAAGTACCAGGTGGCTAGTGAATGCTTTGATGCTAGAGCAGATAGAACGTCCCAGAGAAGCGTGGGGGGCTCCCCAGCATGTTTGGCAGCAGACCTGGAAGTGGACCAGAACCATTTCTGGGTCCGCGGGAGGAGGTACCCTGCCCGCCCCCCAGTGCACTCCCTGGCAGACCTGGGAGTGGACCGGAAGTACTTTGCTGCTGAGCTTGTGGGGGGGCCCTGCGCTCCTGTAGGACGCTCCATCCACCCCAGCATTGCAGCATTGGTATCTTGAGGTATGTAGAAAAAACATTTAAAGTTGTGTCTGTGGCCGAATCGTTGATTCTCCGAATCGGCATTGAATCTCAGATTTGGATCTGAATCAATGAATCGAATCACTGTCCCCGATTCGGGCCGAATCTGAATTGAATACACCCTGCTTTGCACACCCCTAGTGTCTGAACTTTAAAACCCTTGAAGCCTAAAAAAAATAAAAGTTTACTGGAGCAATAAAAAACTTCTTTTTAAGTCATGATAAATACCCAGTGTGGCCAAAGCTTCCCAAAGGGCAGCAAAACCAAGTTAAGAAATTTGATGTTGTTCTTGTCAGCTTCACTGATAGCCAAAATTTTTACTAAAGTCTGCTGCAGGTTGCATTAGAGCAGTAATTTTCAACCTTTTTAATTTGTGGACCCCTAAACCATTTTGAATAGATATGTGGGCCACTTTGAACTAGAAGTGTGGGTATTTGCATACTTTTGGTCATTGTCATCTTTTGTGGACCCCTTGGACATAGTCTGCAGAGTCCCAGCTGTCTGTGAACCACAAGTTGAGAACTGCTGCCTTAGACCTACCTGCAGAGTTGGCAGGTCTGTACATCAGATTAATTTGCATGAGGTTGATGGATTTTCCTTACATCCTTAGCATCTTGGTTTTCAATATTTTTAATTAGCTGATGGCAGCTGACTGGGAAATTATACTGCTTAGCTTTGGAAAAGAGATATTTGTCCAGTAATTTATTAAATAAGGCTTTTTCAATAGCTCTCAACAGTGTAAAACTTTCTTTGAATGTTAACTGCCTGTTTAACAGTTTTCTACAAGTTAGTTGTATTTCTGTTGCATGCAGTGGCAATTGTGTTGCTAATCTGGTCAGCAATATTCAGTGCTGTTCTAAAGAGATGCTGACTAGAGAAACCAGCAAAAATCTTAAAATGCTGAATTCATTTTAATTAATTTTTTGCTGGTTGACCCATAAGTCATAATCTGAAAAACTGCAGCAAATGAGAAACACTAGTTAAGATAAATGCAGTATCTATTTACTGTTGCCAGCTATGTGTAGTTGACAGATGGATAAGTTAAAAAAAAAATCTTTCTGTTTGATTTGCAGTGTACAAATGGATAAAAGTTAGGAAGTTTATACACTCAACTGTTTAAGCAACACAAAAAACTAAAGTGGGGATATAGATGGTTTAGATCTGTATAATACCTCAAACAAGCTGGATGTACCAATCTAGTCTTTTGGAAACTGTTCAGAAACAGTTTCTGATTTCCAAGGAACAAAAGGTAACTATAGGATTTCCGACCACAGATATGTCACTGTTCTTTGTGGCCCTTATGAGGCCCAAATTCCTCAGAAAAACTGAGCAAAATGGAAACTTTTCAGCCAATTGATGGACCAAGAAATTTAGAGCAACTGATAACCAGCTTGCTTCAGATGGGAGAACCCTAGTAACAATGCTTCATTTATTTTTTTATTTGAAGGGGTATGGTTCCCAAGAAAACTTTTGCTCACACATAAGTGAAAATTGCTGTGAATAGATAGCTAGACAGTCTTGATCCACAGTAACGCCAGCTAGTTTTCTGCTATTCTCATAGGCCATTATTGCAAGAAATAGCTCAGAAGGACAATTTATATTATATTCCCTCAAAACTGTTCTACTTTTAAAATTAGAAAAATGATTGCACACTGATTTTACACTTAAACTGATTCCTCTTCCTTTCTTCCCCCCTGGTTTTCCTGAAGTTGAGACAACACAAATGAGCAACCATCTGAATTGTTAATATTGTACCACCTCCATATGGCTTGCTAATATTCTGCCTATGCATTCAGTTGGGAAAGGTACACTTGTTCTGTGATGTGAAGGAAACCTGTGTGTGTATCCATGGTTTTTTGTTTTCTTTTTCTTTATAGAAAGCCACAAAGAAAACTGATAAACCCCGGCCAGAGGAGAAGGATGACCTAGATGTAACAGAGCTCAGCAATGAAGTCCTTCAAGAGCAACTTGTGAAATATGGAGTAAACCCTGGTCCTATTGTGGGTAGGTTAATAAAGCTATCAAATGTTACGTGTGTGTATTGTGCCTGCCTTGTACAGCCTGAAATAAAAGGGTAGCAAAGTAACTTGAATATTTTTTTAAAGTGTATATTTTGCTTTTTTGTTGTTGAAGGTAATGGCAAAAATACTACAGTAAACTCTCTGGTAACTGGCACCTTACAAGCTGGCATGCTCTGGTAACCCCCACAGCTGAGTCCCCACAGCCTGGGGCATAACAGGCTGTGCGGGGCCCACCTTCCTGTCCCACGGGGCCCACAGGGCCCATGGGAGGGGCGGTGGGACGCCACAGAGGTGGCGTGAGAAGCGGCAGCTGGGGCCACTTAATTAACCAGCGTATTTTGTTATCCGACACCCCCCATTCTCAGGGGATGCCAGATAACAGAGCTTTTACTGTACCAAAATTAGTCTCGTCCTCAACAGCACTCATGGAGGAGTGATGTTGAGGAACTGAGTGTTTAAAAATAGCATATAGGCAATAACTTATGGTATCCTGAATAGGGATGTGAAAAGTTAAACGTTTAAACAGTAAGTAACTGGTAATGCATTACTGGTATAAATATAATTTTTAGTCCAGCAGGGAAGGGAAGCAGTAGGGCAGGTGGAAGGGAGGGAGGGGTGAAGGAGAACTAGTACCCATAGCTAATTTGCTCCCTCCCTCCCAGCAGGCTGATGGCTGCAGTGGCCTAGGAAAGCCCCTTGCCTGCTGCTGCCTGCGGCTTCACGTGGACTGTGTTGTCTGGGGCAGTTTGCTGCCACCTCCCCCACTCCGTCAAAGGCCCTGGGGAGAGAATCCTAGCAGCAGTTGTGTCCAAATGTTCTGTGCGCGGTTCCTGGTTCCCTGTGCTGCTCTGGGCAGGTGGCTGCAGCCCCTCCCCCACAACAGGGCGGGGTAGGTGTCAGGGTGGGACTACACACCCCCTGGTGGGACTAGGTGTGTGTGATCTGTTAACCATTTAACTGATATAATTAGAGATGGTTAAATGGATAATTTTTAAGCGATATTTACATCCCCAATTCTGAACGCTGAGTGGCTCTAGGTCCGTAAAACAGCATTCAGAAGTATTTTGCATCAGCTTTCTGTGCAAGACAAAACATGGTGAGTAGTAAAGTTAGGTAGGTAGAAAAAGGTCCCCTTTTTCTAACATTGCAGTTCCCATGTTCCAGGCTCCCCTCTCATCCTGATGCATTCCATGTGCCCTGCATCCCTCCCCCACCCACCGATGAATAATATTAGAGTGTAACTGCAATGAAGTGAAGGTCTGTGGGCTGGTAACTTCTTTTATGGGGTTTTGGGGCTGGATCTAAATTGCTGGTATAGATATACACTTGTGTGGTCTGTTCAACAGTGCTGTAATGGAACTGTCAGCTGTAGAAATGTGTTGGCCCAGAATAGGTGTGGGCAAAATATGGCCTGCAGGCCAGATCCATCCCACCAAGGGATTCTGTTCATCCTGTGGCTGTTCCCTTGGCCCCTCCCGGCCCAAGTGCTGGTGGGGGCAGCCTGGGCTTTTGCGTGTCTAGCTGGTTCTGCCACCCCAGGGTGTGCGGCAGGGCAGGGGCAGCACGGCACCTAGACTCGGCTTTCTAGTAGCCCCTGCAGCAGCACCTTGCTCTGCTGGCCGCTGCTTCTCACCCACTGCCAGGGGCACTGGAAGGAGCAAATGGGCGAGCAGGGGCTCCATGAAAACCAGCTGGGGACCTCTGCGGGCAGGGTGTACTCAGATAGAATGGGGCCATGGGTGGGCAGGGAGCAGCATCTAGGAGCGGGAGAGGTGGGCAGGGACGGGACCAGAATCACAGGGCAATGACAGCACTGGGCCAGGGCTTGGGCCAGAGCCACAGTATCCCTGCGTGTTCCTGCCTGCAGAACCAATGCCCATCGCAGGGATGCGCAGGGAGCAGATCGCGGATGGGCCTGAGGCCAGATAGGATCTCTTGCTCCCCCCACTTCCCTTCCTAACTTGCAACAGCTCTGTGAAACACCTTAAGTCGCCCTCCAGATCAAATAATTGCCCACTTCTAGGCCAGAGGCACCTGAGGCAGAACCTGTCTCATGGCGTGTTGTTGAAAATTGAATTAAGTCACTGCTTCAATTTAGGGAGCGTGACAACATGGAACAAACCAGCTTTCATGACTGCATTGTCTGTCATGTAATGTGTGAATTACTGGAATGTCCCATTAATGAACACCTCTAGATATTGTGTATGATACTTTGACCCCACTTTCTCAAAGAGTTTCATTTTTAGTTTCTTTCTAGACCCATAGTTAAAATATAAATGGTACTGGTTTCATGTTTTTACTATGGCTTTTGAGCTCTTGAGGTTTTGCTAGGCTGGAGATTGAATTATAGTAGAGTCAATTACCTGAACACCAGTTTTCTTAATGCAGGCCATCTTACCAACTGCACACAATGAAGACAAGTGAATGCAAGGGCATTCAAAGGAAAATTACTTTAATTATGGTGGTGGGGTTTGGAATTAAAATACTGTATTTAGTTTAATACAAGATGAGGTTTGTTTCCCCAATTGGCATTTGAGGAGGAGGGGGCTAGAGCTCCATGTCTTGTATTTGCATACACGGAAACTTCATTAGATGTATTAAATTCATTAAATGCAATAGCAACAGGTGCTCAGTAATGGAAACTACTTATGAAGTTGATTTAAATGCAGCCAATATTGAGCATGGACTATAAAACACATGACCCATGGTGGACAAACATACCTATTTTTTTTAATTTTGTGTCAGTCCAAATTAGTCATATTGGTTCCATATTCCATCTACTGAGCAGAGCTCAATTGTTCAGGTCTGTGTGGTGTTACCATGGACAAGCATCTGGCCTCCCAGACTCTTCAGCCCAGGGCTGCAGATACTCCCAAATTTATGGTAGGCATCCCATATGCAGGCCCCAAGCCCAGTGATCTTAGGGTTCAGATTCCTCCAAGTCTTGCTTGCTTCTTGGCCAAAAGGCCAAAGGAGAAAGCTAGGGAGAAATCCCGCATTTCCATGGACCAATACTACCTTCCACAGTGGTGATAATCATAGCACCTCCTCTGCCAGGTAAAGCCATGATGGGAATCTACCAGAAAGATTTATGCACAGTGAAGAAGACTGGGTTAGTGCTAGCCCATCTGAATAAGATGTAGTATCCATTGCATACAGTTCTCCTCAGCCTTGACTCTTTCAGGTCATGGTAAGCTAATACACTGAATATATTTTGATTTCTTCTTTACTCCCACAGCTGAGCTGTGCCTTTTCCCCATTTCTAATTAATCCTGTTTCTTCACCAGCCTTCATTGTCTGGCAAACATCACCAAGTGGGGCCCCAAACACTTGATCTAGATTTTTCTATTACCCCCTCTCAGCCGGTTGCATATGACTAGTGTGGTCCCGCCCTCCGTGAGATGGAGCCAGACCAGCTTGCCTTGCACCTCATCTGCATATACATTTTTGGAGGATCCTAGAACTCACGACTAGAACACCAGGTTCCAGGGATGAGTCGAGGGGGGCACTAATTAGCACATGGATCCTTTTGGTTGATATCTCGAGTACATATACTGAGCAGTGTTGAGCTATGGGGTCTCTACAGCTTGAAACACAGTTGCCTTTGCTGGGGCCAGCTCAGTGAACTCCTTGGGAAATCATCAGTCTTTTGGCTTTGGACTAACATCATATGTAGTTTGTCCTATATATAAGTAGGTAGAAAAATGCTGCTTAAAACTAGGTAAAAGAAGGTAAAATACATCAATTCTGGATGAACTAAATTACTACAGGCATTTGTATGTCAAAACCACTGTTTTCAAATTTGCTCCTCACTTTCACGTGCTCAGCGAGAGCGCAGGGTCTGATAGTAAAGTTGTGGTGGGGGAGCTGCACGGGGGTGGAGGTTGGGGGCAAGGGAACCCCAACTGGATTTATTTTCCCTGCTGTAGCAATGGAAAGGGGGCAAATTCAAGGCAAGCCTCCAATAATTAGGTTCTGTACCTGGAAAATTTATTACAATTTTATATTTTTCCCCTATATAGAATCTAATTATTGCAGGGGTAGTCTTATATTCAGGGTCATCTTATATTTGAGTAAATACAGTAGATGGCAATACATTTGTGTTCACTTAATGCATGTTTCTTTAGCTGAAAGTGATTAAATAAGTAAGTTTTGATTTTGGTTATTTTGGACAGTTAACTCTACTGTAGTGCTTAGCCTCAACTCTTTCTAAAACAGAATATTTAGGAGAATAGAACTTAGTTACTTGCTTCATTTGGATTGTTTATGAATAAAGCTAGCAGAACTAGTATTTTTTTTTAATACTTAACTGTGAACCATGCACCTGATGGGACTAGTGTTCTTGTGTAAATGGATAATAGCAATGAAAGGTGGTTGTGTACATAGAACTGGTGACCCAGTAAGATTTCTTGAGCCATGTATTTTCGTTTTCTTGATTTAAGTATTTTTGGAAATTGTAGGCAAGCTGAACAGGTGTGTTTTTAAAAACTATACAGATGCAGTATGATGGTAGGTTTATTGGATAACGCATAAAATTAATATAGTTTGTTTCCATTGGTTCTGTAAATATACTAGCTGTAAAATGACTGTTACCATGAATTTAATGTGGAAATGTTTAACTCATGAGCTTGTGGCCCTAATAAAGATACTGAAGTGTATTTCTCTTATTGCAGCATACCTGGTCCCAACTGGGATTGTGGATGAAGCACATGAGTGATTTAGAGAGGCCTACTATTGAGTAGATGTATCATGTCTTCAGTAGCTGTTTACTTTCTAAGAATGGCCAGACAGGTTGACAAGTCATAATTGTCTATCATTTTGAATATGTTTTATAGCAACTACAAGAAAGGTCTATGAAAAGAAATTGCTGAAACTGATGGAACAAGGCCCCGAGTTGAAGTCTCCAGCACCTCTCCCAACACCAACAATTTCTTCATCTGCTGAGAATACCAGACAGAATGGAAATAATGATTCTGACCAATACAGTGACAATGAAGAAGGTAAGATGGTAATGGAAGGTCAAATGTAAATGAATGGCTTTAGGGATGGGCAGGTGTAATACTATGTACATGCAAAGGCATTTCAGGTTTGAGAATTAAATTGAGTGATTGCTTCAACTTGGAGATTATAATAACATGAAATAGAAAGCAGCCTTCTGGTTTTGTGGTCCCCCACTAGCTTTACCAGCATGCTCTGATTTTAGGCTTGAGCTGTCATATATGAATTACTATAATATTCCATTGGTGATCTTTAGATATTTTGTGTGATTCTTTGACCCCCACCTTCTCAATTAAATATAACCTCCTTTTGCACTGAAGACATTATAAAGATAGAAATCAGAATAGCTTCCGAATCCGAGAGTAGACTTTTCTTCAAGATTAGGGCTTCTAGAGGTACGCTTCCTCTTCTCTTCACCCCTGCATCTGAGTCCTTCTTAAGGATCAGATTTCTGCAGTCAAAGGATAGATCTGCAACAGCTTTCAAAGGGATTACAGTAACTGTCTCTGAAGTTCATAAGCAATATATCTCCTGTCTGAGCATCTGAAGGATTTTCAGATGTAGTGAAATCCTTTTGTATCTTTCCTTCAGTAAGTATTGGGGCTTATCTGTATGTCTGAGACCTAAAACCTGTGTGTATTTAAAATGCAGTAGCTGTTCCTAATTATGGCCACTTTTTTTCAAGAATAGATATTCATGTAAAGTTGATTGAGAACAATTCCACGTACGGACAGTCCTGTTTATTCTTGAAGACGGTAAGGGCTTCATTGAATTAAAAGCAGGTTTTGAATAACTAGTCGAGTGTATGTGGTTCATGAAGCCCAAGGGTGCATCTTGCTGATCTTTTTATAGGGTAAAGTATCAAGGATAGAGAGACATGCATGGAATTAAAGGACTATTTTTGGAAACAAGTTAGAAGAGCATCCCCTTTGACAGAATATGCCCAGCCAGGGATAGGTAGGGAAGACCAGTCAGGGTTTAAAATACAGTTAATAATTTTGTTACTCACAGATTCTCCTTGCATGTTTATTTGTCTGTATTGATCTATATTTCTACATAACGGTCTTTCAGGGAGTTGTGGAACAGATAAACGTTCCCTTTTCCTGGGATAACTTTTGTATGTCTAGTCAAAGTTATCAGTAGGGAAAGGAGGATTTGTAGACTAAATGAAATTGTCAGCTGGTAATTATCAGTTCTAATCTTTTCTGTCCAGTATTTCCTTTGATTCTAGGAAAATATTTAAAAACTAAAGGTGTAGAGGGATAGCATTTATAATACTTCAGCTTCTGGGTAACTTGAGCTCTAAACCCTCCATGTAATGACAGAGGCAACACTTGATGCCAGTATTGAGTTAGTCACTAAACGCTGCTTTGTTTCTTGTTTAATAAAGAGGAACTAAACAAGAAGCTCAAATATACAGTCTTGGAAATAGACTGATCATGACAAAACATATATACAGGTATTCAAATGAAATGTTGTAATCCTATCCTGGCCCATAGCTTATATGAAGCTATGAGCTATATGATTTTTTTTTCCCCCCCAGAACATTAGAAGCTTTAGCAAAAACATGAATCTGTCTTGTTTTGTTTTAAGAATATTCTTATAAAGTTATTTGTTTTGTTGAACAAATCCATTTTGGACAGTTGTCCATGGCCTTATAGGAATTTTGGCATTATTTTTATAATCAATGTGTTCTTGCCAAGGAGGCGGCAAACCAGCCTGTATTTGAGAGCATTCATTTAATTTTGACATCTAAACTTTTGGATGCTAGAATGGACCACAATGCACTAATTTTGTTACAAAAATGTATTGATTTTTTTTTTTTAACTACAAATTAGTAGCTACCTTTAAGAAAATTTTCTAAGGAAAAGTAGTGTCTTCTGTCACTCTTACTACTATTTGACAAATAAGAGCCAAAATCAGTGACTGGTTCATTTTCAGATCCCAAAGTGGAGCTCAAGCTTGAGAAGAGAGAGCCACTGAAGTCCAAGACAAAGGCTCCAATAACCCTGAAGCAAAGAAGACTTGTTGAACACAACCAGGTATCCTCGTTTTCCTTATGGAAGTCATACTTTTAATGGCATTTTCTTACTGGGTGACTGTTTGTAATTGTGAATATGAATGTACTCACCAAAGCTTCTGAACTTACTTTGATAGTAAAACGTAACCAATAGTTACAGTATACTTAAACTTAACAGGCTAAACTTTTTATTGTGAGTTTGCTAGCAGCCTTGTTTTAATGCAGCACAGGAAGCTCTATAAACTAGCTATAGCTCTTGTCCAGCTGATGAGGCTCTCAACTGTGGTGGCATAGCTACCTTCATACATGTGCAAGTTAAAGCTGCAGGGAAACCAGCTTTGAAGTTGTTACACAATTTTCCAGCTCTGACTTTATAGCTGGATGGACCTTTTTATAGTGTGATAGTTACTTTGCATATGTAGCTGGTCTAAATGAGTTGTGCAGTTAACTGGTTAATTGCACAATTTATGTAACGCGTAGAGGGGGCCTTAGTAATTTTGCAAGCAAAGTCGCTGTGTAAGGTTTTTAAAAATGGACACCTCCATGTTTGTCGGATTTTGCTGTTCATCTGACTTGCTTTGACAGGATACAAATACTGGCATTTGTCTTTGGTATATGGTGGGGCTTTTTGGTTTTTTTGGGTTTTTTTTTTAAATAGCTATGTTAGTCTTTTCTTGTTGTGCTACATTTTGGAAGTCTCACTTTAACGGTTCTCAAGTGGGGTGTAGCCCAAGGTGCGGCATGACTTTCTGATGAATTGCAGCATGGGCATCACTGCTGCTACTAGGTGAACTCTTCATGCCACCTTAATGCACAGCCAAACTGAGAGGGGCTGTGGCATGAATGTGCTCTTTTGCTTGCATTAAGGTTGTTTGATAAACCTAGAGGAGGAAAGTCCTTGGTCCTGCTTCAGCCTTTTTTGTTCTGACCCCCACACAGCATCTCCTGGAAACAGATATGCATGGCAAGTGGAATTGTCCCCTGTGCCTCTGTTTCCAGAAGGAGCATGTTGGTACTGGACCGAGAAGGTTGTGACCAACAGAGCCCGCTCACCCCTTATTCTGGTTCACTCCATCCTCAAGCCACGAATGGACTGGGCACTGAGAGTCCCCATAGCTCCCCAGACCCATTTCCCCCAAATATGGTTGTTGCAGCATGAGGAGTGGGGGGCACAAGTTCTGTAAAGAAGTGACTTGGGCTCTCATCTGTGGCTCAACCTTGGGACTGGTTGGCTTTCAGGACCAGCACATGTAGCAGAGAGAGGCTTCAGCTGGAAAGAGAGTCATATCCTTGGAGGGGAAGTTGGAGTCTGGCGATCTAGGAAGGTTTTTTCACGGCGGGGCTAGGGCATGAGAGCTGAACTGGAGGGATGGTTTAAGCCCCAGCCAGTGCCAAGCACTGGGAGGAATGGCCCTTAGTGGGATGGCAGTGGAGTCTCTGCTGTAAAGTGACCTTTCTCTTCCTTCATGATCTTTAATTTAATGGACTGGGAGCTTCTAAGGAGCAGGAGAGCCTAGAGCACAAGGTAGTTTAAGAAGATCTGTTGCATTATCTGATTTCAGAAATGCAGCTGAAAATTGGGTCTGGTGTTGGCTAGGAGAGAGGGTGAGGTGGAGCAAGAGAGTGTGAAAGAGCTAGCATGTGCATGTGGGGCAGGGAGGTGAGGGAAACTGCATGTTGTCACCAATGAGCTAAAAGCTAGTAAAGCCAGACAGGACCATCCTTACTTGCAGACAAGGGTCCTGATCTTTAGGGAGCAGAAGCTCAGCACTTCTGGAAAATAAGGTCCTTGTAAAGCAGGGGTGGGCAAAATGTGGCCTGCGGGCCGGATGCAACCCACCAGGCCATTCTGTCCAGCCTGCGGAGCCCCTAAAAAGTTTAGAAAATTAATATTTATCTGCCCTTGGCTGCCTGTCGTGCGGCCCTCGATGGCTTCCCAAAACTCAGTAAGCGGCCCTCTGCCCAAAATAATTGCCCGCCCCTGCCGTAAAGTATCTTGGTTGAATTCTGTCAAAACTGGAGTGCCTAGAACAGTGATTCTCAACCAGAGTGCTTTTGGGCTTTGTACATCAAGGTAAAGGTGGGAGATAGGGAGCATCTCTCTCTGCACAGGGAAAAGGATCTTTGCCTACATCTGTAGAGGGTCCTGCTAAATTCAGAGAAGTTTATGGAGGGGTTCCTTGAGTCTAAAAATGTTAAGAATCACTTCTTTAGCCTGTCGTTAGGTCATTGTAATATGATATGTTTTTTAATGCATTACAGCTTCGGTTACCCAGGCCCTGTTGGAATGCATCTGCCAAAAAGCCATTTGTCCCACTGAATACGTTTGCATAAGTGAAGCCACAGCATCCTGTAAAGAATTGCATGTGCTAATACATGATGCACAGTATAAAATCATACCAGTCTAACACTACATTAAGTAGAGTAAAAAGAGAATAGCATTATTTATGCAATGACAGCAGTTGCATATTAGTAGAATTAAGTTGCAGTTTGGAAAACTGTGTGCTGTATTTAGTGTATACTTCCTCTGTCTATAGTGAATTTAATATGCTTGTGAGATTTTAACTGCAGACACTACCATTAATTTTTGTTACTAAAATTGCTGCTTTTTTTTCCTTTTTCAGAACTTATTCTAAATGTTGCTCAACCTACCAGAGGAGTTTTTTCCCTTTTTCTTTCTAATGCACAAAAATATCCAAAACAAATGTACTCCTTTCTAGGCCTTTGATATGCCTAAATTCAATATTGGACTAGAAATAGCTTTTCTAGGCCAATTATATGACTATTAAATCCAGTATTTCATGGCCCTTTCAGGCATGGAAGGGGAATTAGTCAAAAAGTGGTCACCCTTTTGTAGTTGGACTCAAACATGGGGTATGACTGCACTAGAATATGACCCATCCATGGACTTATAGGCATGCAGACATGTGCTTGCCAGTCCTGCCATCCAGGTATCTGTGTATTCACATCTCTCTGAACCACATAGTTAGTTGCAGTCTTCAGACCATTTACTTAACATTTGGCTATCTCTGGGTTGGGCTTTAAGGTGTGCTTTCTTAATATTTTGTATAGCGTTTTTTTGTTTGTTTTTCCTCAGAAAGCATCTGTGACCCAATTTTAATTTAGCCACTGTCTTATCCAGTTTATCTGGATAAATGATAAAATGAGAATAATGAATCTCTCAATACAGTTCTTAAAATGAGGAATGGTTTACTACTTTGGTCCAAAATGGACCTTTCTTTTTTTGTTTACTTGGGACAGTGGATATTTTAGTAGTTCCATCTACAGAAGCAAAAGGCACTACAGCTATTAATAGTAGCTTATCTGTAATTTTCAAAGCTTCTCTAAACATACCTCACTAAAGCACCATAAACTTCTAAAGTAAACTTTGCTTTTAGGAAAGAAAATAAGTTTTGGATAAGGGCATCTCAAAGTTGTTGTTTTGTTTTTTTTTCCCTTCACCATTCTCTCCCCTTGTTCCCTTTACAATCCGATAAGCTAGAGGGGCACAGAGGGCCTTCTTTCTTTGGTTTCTATGTCACCCTCTCTGGAGAGGCTCAAGGTGTCTTACAAGAACAGGCATGGTTAACTGCTGCTTCAAAAATAAGGAAGGCAATTTTTGGACTGGGGCTGGAATGTGAAGGAAGGGTGGTAATTTTTGTTTGTTTGTTTTTTGTTGGCAATTTTTAAAAATTAAGGTATAACTTAATGTGATGAATCATTTAAAAACACAGACTTCAGTTTTGAGGTTCACTTAGATTGAAGTGGCTGACCTGCAGCATGAGTGCCACAAGTAGCACAGACAGCCTCTGTGTGGGGCTTGTAATAACTTGGGGAGGTGGCAGAAGGCAGAGCAGGAGAGCAGACTAAGAGCATAGGATGGGGAACAGAAAGCAGAGGAAGGGGTTTAGAGTCGCACTCGGGGATAGTGTATGGCTAACTTGTGGTATGCCTGCCAAAAAGGTTGGCTTCACTGTCCTAGACGGTATGTGGGTACTTCATGAGGCAAGGGTAGGGGGCAAAGAAAAGCTAGGATTTAATTCCTTTTTGTCTCTGAAATCCATCCTCAGACTGATTTAAAGTGGTTTACTAGCCCCCAGGCACACTGCAATGCTGTGGTGCTGTTCAGAACCTTTTTATCCAACTCTTTTTGGCAAGCTGCATGTTACATGCGTCCATACTAGAAAAGAATGGAGAACACAGTAGTGGGTTTCCTTGTGACTTAAATAAATACTTCTAACAGTTTTAGACTCAAAATTAGCCTAGTACATGAAACTTCTAAAATCTAGTGGGACCTAAGGTCTAGTTTTTAAATGTCTAGTAAAATGGATCACTTTATTGCTGAGAAATTTGGAAAATTATTATATAGGAAAGCAAAAGACTTGTGCTCCCTCTGCTGGATTTGTTGCGGCAGGAAAATAACTGTACATATTGAGCTGTGCAGAGAATGTTAAAACTATTCATATTGTTTGAAGAATAGCAAAATAGCAGCAGTTTTATGATCTTATTCCCATTATCAACTGTGGAAGCTCTAACAGCAGAAATTATCCTACCCACTTCTTCACATTGCTTTTCTTCAGGTCCCGACTGTAGCTTTTTGTGAATTTGATACTGTTTCCCAATGTGATAGATCTTTTTGATCTGCAAAGAAGATCTGCATTAACAAATAATGGGAAACTTTTGGATTTTCATCATTAGTCTGTATTAAGCAATACAAACTTATTGTGGAATTACCTTCCAAACATAGTGGTGGCAAGGAAGTCCAATTTCATGGTGATGAAGGGACGTTTTTGGAATAGTAGTCGGACCATGTTATATGTAGCTTGAGGCTTCATGTGTTTGGTAGCACCGCAAGGGGGTTGAAACAAGTTGATCTCAGTATAGGTTACCTCCATGTGGGAGATGTTTGGCAATCCTGTATTTCAGGGTTTCTTTCTTTGATCCCAACAAGCAGGATTTTCTCCCCTTTTCCTCAGTTTTCTCCTTTTTTCTTTCTTTTGAATTCATTATTTGACTTGTAGGTTTTCTTGCCTTCCTCCAAAATGATTGGACATTGTGTAGAGTGCCCTGGTGCTTTCAGATGCTATTGAGAAAATTTTCTGGTACCTATTTATTGGGTCTCATTGCAGGTCGAACTGATTGAACCCAAATCTGGCTTCAAAGAGTTGGCAGGGATTGGTAGGCCAGATTGGCAAGGACTTTGGCAGGGAGGGTCCCTTTCTCTGTAGCATGGTCCACATCTAGGCTTGTGTTTGGATTTTTTTTCTTGCGTTCCCTGTTACTCTGGTGTCTCTTCCTGTGCCTGATGTTAGTTTTTTTTCTTTATTGGGTTGCTTTGTGGCTGTGGTATGCTGGAAGCTGGAGTGGATATTTTTGTGGACCCTTTTTAGACAAAAGGTTACCTGCAAAGGCCGATGAGTAGACTTGATGTCCCTTCCAATTCTGTGTTGCTATAAAACAAATAAGGGGAATTTTGCTTACATGGCGTGGACACTGGGGCAAGCACCTGGAAGCTCAGAGGTTGAAAGTTTGAGGCCATAGCAGAAATGCACATGGTACAGCCATGTCAGAGTCCAACAAATCTGTGAATTCTGCTAAATACCTTGTCACAAGGACACAAAGTGAAGGAAAATAAGGGTAAATTAATTCTAATTTATTTTTTCTTTTTCTTTTCTTCTCCTCCCCATATACCTTTACAGTTCTTTTGCAGTAGCTTCTAACATTTTGGTGTAGGCTTATGGGTGGCTATAAAGTAGTTGTGTGCTGCAGCCTTCTATGCTTCATGGGGTTTTAATCCTTTTACCTTGGTATTTGACTGAAACAGAAAAGTCTGTTTTTAATATTTAAAAAAGGAAAAATACTGTTGTGCTGAATTTTTTTTATCTTCCCTGTTCATTATAAAACCACTCAATCATTTGTTGAGATTCAAAATCTAGAAAAAAATTCAGTTTTTTTTATTGGCAGTTCATATCAAAGTCAGGGCATGTAGCCAGGGAGACCTGTTAAGAGTGAAGCACAGTTCTTTTGGGTGTAAAACTCAGAAGGTTCTTACTAAGGTACAAATGGAAGTTAAATTGAGCAAAAGCCCAAATTGATCTAAATGTGCTTTTTTAAAACAGACATAGAAAGCCCTTGGAGAAATTTGACTTTTACTGAAGTTAAAAGCTTTCTATCTGTAGGAAGAGTGGTTTTTCAATAACTTTGTGGTGAGGGTGGGGGATATTTAGGAAGATATAGGACATTGTCTCATTGCTAGTGATACGTATCCATTATCCAGCTATATTAGTTTGTGATGTAATCAGTTATATTCCTCTCCTAGTGATGAGAATTTTCATTTTGTTCCAGTAGTAGAATATTGTCTAATTAATTCCAAGAAATATTGGAATCCTTTCAAGGGTAGTCTTAGATCAGGCAAATGATGTAATTCAACTGTCCAACGTGGAAAAGTGTTTTTGGGAGCCAAGACTTACTGGAAAGCAAGCATGCTATACAAAAGCTTTTTGGAATATGCATACTGTTTTGGCTTTGGTTATGCATCCCATGTTGGGACATGGCTCTTATGCTTGCTAACATGTCTGATACTTGAATAGACCTATTCTCAAGATGAAGTTACTGAGACTGTCTGGACAAGTGGATCTTCAAAGAGTGGACCTCTGCAGGCAATTTCTAGGGAATCTACAAGAGTATCAAGAAGAACACCAAGGAAAAGGGTGATGAGAGGCTTATTGTCACTTAGACAAGCTTATTTTCCCCCCTCTGTCAGGGCTCCATCAATTATTTTTATATTCATTTGTTTTTGTTCTTGTTTTTAAATGAACAGGTGGAAACTACAGCACAATTGCCTATAGATGATGCAGTAATGTCAGAGAGTACTCCCATAGCTGAAACTATATTGACTTCAAGCAACGAGACCCTAGTAAATATATTTAATAAATTATGCAAGTGGTATTCTTCTATAATCTACTCTTACCTGTTACAGTAAAAATAACTGAAAAGTTCTAACTTTACTTTTTTTTTTTAAGTCAGTTAAGGTCAGGGGGGGAGGTCTTTTTCTCTCAAAAGCTCCACCTCACTGTTTCAGTTTTAAACAATATACAGGTATTATGTGTACTAGCATTTGTTTCTGAAAGTGACCAACACCATCACAATAGAATAAGTAGACCACTGGTAATTCAGTATAGTAGCTCTACCTTCATTGGGGATGGGGATTGGGTGAAAAGAACAGACTTTGAAGTCTTGGCCCTTTTTCAGTGGCTCACTCATTTGAATTATGAGCAGCAATTCTACTTCAAGTGTTTTTATGAGCATTTGTCTCCTAAACAGCTTAAAATTGTGGAGAGGAAAGGATCGTTTTGGGTGTTATCTTTTATTGGACCAACTGTATAGTTGCTGAATGTTCTTTAGCATGTTCATTTCAAAGTAGCTTTTCCTAAATCTATCCTTGAATTTTTCTTAGTATCAAATGTGTAATGCACAGGTTTTATGTATGTCATAGTCCATTTTTCTTCCCAGTGCATTTTGGCTAATTCTGAGTCTGAACAATTTGAATTTCAGCAGGTTGTCAATAGGGTGCCTGGAAATTTCAAGCATGCAACTCCCATACAGTCAATCAGTGAATTCTCAGATTTGTCCAGAAGAACATCAAAGAAACCATTGATGACAACTGAAGTAAATGAGTTATAATTTTTTAGATTATTATTGTTTAACTTTTCTGAACAAAGCTCTTGCCTATCTTTTAATCCAGAAGTGGGATGGAGGGTGTACTTGGAAAGGTGGCATGAATATGTTTAAATGAAAGTTGTAACTTAGCTGAACTGGAGAATGGAGGTTTTTTTCCATCTTAAAAATTTGCCAATTAAATTTTTTTTTTCCGGGGGGGGTGCCATTTTAGTATTTCTGGGTATCATGTCTGCAGTTTTGTGCTACTCCTGTTGACTGTGTAGCACATTTGCTTTTTTAAAATTCTTGTCACCCTATTTGATTAGCTCAAATGTGCCAGAACTTTACACAAGGTTTGTCTGGTTTAACTTAGAAAATCAAATAACGGTTATTTTTAAACCAAGAGCTTGGACTTTATTTCATTTGCTCCCGTTTTTAAGATGCAATAGAATTCTTGGGTAAAATTATAACACTTAATTTTGAGTGCTGGAATGTAGTAGTAGTAGTAATAATAGGAAATCTTTTCCATTGGGGAAATACGATCCCAGTTATACTGCAGGGTAACAGACTACAGTAAATCGGATGGAATTAATTACTTCCTTGCTTGCAATGGTTACAGCTAAAGCTTAAGTGAGATTTGTAAACCCAGCCATCTAGTATGCATGTCTCTTAAGTATATGTCTAAATCATTATGTATCTTGTGAAAAGTGCCACTCCACTTACATGGGCAGATGTGATACTAAGTATTTGTCGGAATTGATAACCATGAAAAGACTGACAACTCAATATCTTCCTCTTTCAAATGCCAAGACTTAGCATTTTGCTATATTGCAGCATTTTCACTTACCACAACAAGAAGAAACATGTCGTCCTCATCAGTGCTTTTATGTAGGTCACACGCAGTCCAGTGATCTGCTGAACACTGCCATGATAGAGGAGGTGATTAAGTTTTTAATAATTATTATTGTCTGGTTGGTGTTACTGTATAAGTAATGGTATTCTTCATATTAAAGGAAAATGAGGACAACACTGAATGTACTGGAACACCAAAAAAGACCAGACATTTGCCAGTAACAAAGGTTAAACTAACAGTGATAAACTAGGAACGAGATTTCTGAAACTCACTGGGTGAACTAAATTCTCCCCCTCAAATCACATAAGGATATGGCCTATCTCTCTTTCTCTCTATGGCTTAATAGCTATACTGTAGCTGTTGCTCCCAAGATGTACGTGTTGGGATTATAATTCTTTTTGTTTCTGTAGGTGGTGGAGAAAACTCATACAGAAGAGCGAAGAGTAGAACGGGATATTCTTAAGGAAATGTTCCCATATGAAGCATCAACACCTACAGGAATTAGGTACTGTTTAAAAAGCTTTTTTTCACACCATTTTGATAAATCAAGGAAATAGTTTACTTTCATCTAGTTGAGCTGTATTTCTAGAAAACCTCAAAATTAATCTGTACTCTGGCTGATCTGGATAGCTATAACTATAGAGATAGGTGGCACAGCTGCTATCTCCTGCATACAGTTCGGTTGAAATCTGAAAACATTTAATTTGTTTTTAAGGCTCAAAAAGCTTTTTAAACAAGTTATTTTAAGTGGAATTAGTTAAACAGGACTTTCTACTTCATTTAAAAAAAGAAAAATGTAATTTCTTCTGAAACTAAGGTCACCATCATATCCTGGAACTTTAAAATTAATTGTTTTATTACTTCTGTTTGAGGCTAAAAACATTAGTTTTCTGGTCTAGGTAGAGTGTTGCAAAAAGGTACCTAGGTTTTTTGTTTGGTTTTGGTTTGTTTGTTTGTTTTTTTGAGTACTCCAGTGGGTAGATGAGCTTTTATCCACTAGAATTAAGTGAACCATTAATTTGACCCACTGAAGTCCCCAAGTTTCAGTTGTGATTGTCATCATACCCGTTTTGGTGCTGGTGTGGGTTGTGCAAATCGGAAAGCCTGAGCATAAGCATCTGCATGGAGTGTGTATATCTGGAGAGTCTTTGCTTTTCACGGAAGGCATAAACAGCATAGCCTACCAGCAGTGCCTCTTTCCTCAACTGTTCTATGACACTTTCTTGCTGTCTTGATTTAGATTACTGGAAAGTCCCCATTCTATCATTTTTAAAGAAAAGCTGATTACTTAAGGAAAGAAAAGAACTATCAGCTTCAGATCAGTTGCCCATTTTATAGCTCTTTCTTTTGTTTAAAAAATAAATAAAAATCCCAGGTTGATCACAGAGTTCCATCTGACTTAATAGTTTTAATAAAGTGAATCTGTTAAATTCAGACTCTCTGTGACCATAGCAGAGACAGCAGTCTTCACTCAAAGGTTTGTCTAAATAGATTTTTGAACTGTGTAAGGATATGAGGTAAGATGGATAAAGTAGATCCACCTACAATTACTGGTACATGTTCCCACAGAGCAGCATATGTCCTTTGTATCTGTCATACCTGCTTTGTGAACATGAGTACACAATCCTCGAAATGTCTTGTTTGGACAGCATATTTAACGAAGGCCTGCTCCAAGTCACAGATATTGAAACTCAAGATTCTGCCTCCAGTGGAACTGGTCTTCTGTTTTGGGGAGACCGGTGCATACATGGACACTCCCTCAAAGGAAAATTGAAAGTTATTTGGACAGTAGGGCTGTGCGAAGCAGCACCGTTCCACTTCGACTTCTGTTTTGATGGAACAGTGTTTTGTTTCAGGTTTCGTTTAATTTTGAAAGCACTGTTCCATTTCGTTTTGTTGAAACTGTTTCGACATTTCACCCATACGCTATAATGGGGAAGCATGAAACTGCTTATAATTTTGTCATTTCTTACCTTATTTGGATGAAATGTGCAGGGATGGTAGCCCCTTCTGAGGGCATGAAACCTGCCAAATTTCAAGGAGATGGGTGCAGAGGTTTCTGGAAAACTGTACCTCAAGATGTTGACAAGCAAAATTCCTGTCACTTGTTGGTAGCGGCAGTCTCCTGTCATCCAGCAGGCAGATCTGGGGACCCGAACCCCTGGGAAAGCGATAGGGCTGTTTCGGACTTCTCCCTGGGGTGCGGGCCCCTTATCTGCCTGCTGGATGACAGGAGGCTGGTTCTGCCACCTGGAGCCAGCAGCGGTACCAGTCTTCTTGGCGCTAGGTGTGGACTGCGCCCAGCACCAGTCCCAGGCAGCAGCAATAGCCTTCTGTCATCCAGCAGGCAGATAGGGGACCCGCACCCCTGGGAGGAGTGGCAGAGCCCCACAGCCCTCCTGGGGGGTGTGGGCGGGCCCCTGATCTGCCTGCCAGATAACAGGAGGCTGCTGCCGCCGGCTGGGACAGGCACTGGGTGCAGTCCGTGTACCGGGAAGATTGGTACTGCTGCTGGTCCCAGCTGGCAGTGACAATATGCTGTCATCCGGTGCACAGATCCAGGGGCCTGTACCCCCAGGTGAACTGAGTGGTGTGCCAGAATCCTTTCGGGGCGGGCACAGCTCCCAGATCTGCGCCAAATGACAGGAACTCTGCCAGCCTGCAAGGAGAAACTACCATCTCCCATGTTTTTCTCTTTTTCATAGTTTCATAGTAGCTAGGGTCAGGAGAGACCTGAACAGATCATCTAGCCTGACCCCCTGCCACAGGCAGGAAAGAATTCGGGGGTGA